GAGATTCATGATATTATTTTTCAACTTAAAGTTTATTAAGGGCTTGGCTGTTATTTAATTTCTGAGAGGTAAGGTATCAAATGTAAGATTTCAGAATTGAAAAATGGAAAGATTCATTAACTGTCATGACAATAGCAGATAAAGTATCAATAATTTCTACTTTGAATGCAATCTGAAATCATGTTTCTTTCATTCCAGGACAAAGTTGATAACAAAGCAAAACAAAACATTCCAATAATTTACATTCCACATTTCTGAGAATAAATATGATTTCTTTGATGAGCAATCTGGAAATTGGCAAATTACCTGTACAGAGACATTAAAGTACTAAAGTAAGCAGTGATTTGCAATCAGAGAAGACTAGAACTTCAAATTAAAATTACAATATTAATACAATCCATTGGCTCTACCCATTCCTTACATTATTACCCACAAAGTTCCATTTTCTTTTGGGTTTGTATGTACTTTTTTTTTCATGTTTAGGCAATTTAAAATCTAAGTTCAGCAATGTAGACAACTTAGCTTTGATATTTCAGACAAGTTTTGCATCTGAGGAATATTTTTGAATAATATGCCTTCCTAAAGTATGTACAAACAACATCACATCTACTGGTGCTGGCTGTGACAGTAGTTACACTCAGTATTGCTGCAATTGTGTTCAGAGTAAAGTCATATTTACCCTAAGAAGGACAGCAAAATTTATCTACAGCCATAACACATAGCTCTGATTATCTTATGGAAACAAAACTCTGAGATTTGGCTAATATTTTAATTAAAATGTTTCAAAAAAAACCCCAGAAGGCTCTGGGGGAGAAAAAAAATATGGAGGACATATTCCGAATAGGTTTTATCTTCAGGTGGAGCATGGAGAAATGTAATATGAAGCTTTTAAACAATAGTCTAAATGCATAAATATATTTAAGTGCTTTTCTCTATTTCTAAGGGGAAAGATGGAAAACAAAAGCATGCTTGAATAATAGACAACAATCATTTGCAAAGAAACCAAAGGATTTAGAGAAATTATCTGATGGCATCTAGTATTCTGCCACTTCAAAGAGGTGAATGATTTAACATTCTGCCAATGAAAACTGTGTAAAAAACTTACTTTGAGTATCTCTATTAAAATGAAAAAGTTTTCTTAAACATTCAAAATGTATCAAGAAAATTTAGTCATCCCCCCAAAGAGGGCAAGTTGCAGTATCCTTAATTTAATTTATTCTGGCCCCAAAGCAACTTGGCATTTAAACATGTGCATAAACTTTAAATACATGCTTACTGTCCTTGAAGACATGCTTGAGTAGCTGACTAGAGTGGGACCTATAGGCCTACTCTAATTTCAAACTCTTTTCGTTGAGAGTCAGATTAGATTGTGTATGAAATTATTTCACCATTGCCATCTTCCAGTGTTTTACTCTGGAGACGGAGTGCAAATACTTGAGATTCAACACTTGTTGCTCATCACTTTCAATTTGAAAATATGCCATGTTTGAACAGATGAACACTGAAGGACTTCCCATGGGATGTCTTCCTCTGCAGATTTAAATCTCGCCTTCTGCAGATACTCGTATGAGGCTTTGAGTTTCATTTGCTATAAACAGTTGTGCCAGTAAAACTTTATTGTCTGGATGTGTGGAGAAAGTGAGCTCAAAAGACATGTCAGCATCTGAAACCCCTTGCTGCTAAATGTTTTTTACATCTTTCACTATGGCTCATGAATAGATGAGAGTTGGCTATAGGAACCAGCCAGAGAATTTAATTTTGTCGGTCACATTTTTCAATGGATTATTTGAAATTTCTCTAGAGTTCTGAGAGCTGCATGAAAGCCAATATAGGATAAAATCTTTCAAGAAGATACCATGGCTCTGTTCAGAGTGACAACAGAGATGGCAGTCAGTGCCTCACACAAAAGAATTTATGAAACTAAATGACAGTTGATGGAAAATGGTTGAATATGCATCGAAGTTGGGAAATTAGTAAGGTCATTTTCTGTTTAAACTCTCACATTGCACAGATGAGAATTGTTAAATAATTGCCACATTCAACTTCAGTGTTTAAATTTCAGTGGTGAGAAAAGTGTTTGTGATGTGTTGTAAGCATGCATGATTGCATGTTGAATGATTATATTTAATGATAAAACTTGTGAGTAAATAACTTAAATGTTTTCAGGAGAAAAATCTCTCTCCAAAACAGGATTATAAGCAAGTTTATATGTATCCCTACACAAAAACTTAATATATTGCAAATTTCTATAGAAATACTAACAAGCCAAAATAATAAGTTCACTTTACAGTCAACCTCATAAATCATGTGGTGAAGATGTTTGTGTCTACAAATGAAGGAAATTCCCTTCACACTTGAATAATTAGAAGCTGGAGAGAGAGGGCATAGGTGAGGAGAAAAGATGAAGATCTGTTTCCTGTGGAAATAATATCCTAAAAGCTGGGTTATCAATCCAACTGGACAGATTCCCTAATACAATAGCTTCCTTTTAAATTAGCTCCTGTAAATTAACCAGCTCAACTAAACATTGGCAGGATCTTATCACAGTAATGCACAATAAAGTCTACATTATTAAAATTCCACTGAAGAAAACTTAGTGTGAGATAAGGCAGACATGAATGATCATTTAACATTAATCCTGATGACAACCATTTCCACTTTGCTATTGAAATTCTCTTCTTCCTACATTTTCATTTCCAAGTACAATATAAACAACATGCTCTAATCAATCACGTATACATCCACCATAATTTTTATACAAGGCCCTGTATCTTAGGTATATAAGCCACTGAAGATAATTTATCTTCCCTCTTGCTTTGCACTGTCATTAAATGAAAGGAAAGCTAAAAAGGTAAAGTGGTACAGAGAAGTAGCAGGTAAGATACAGAGTTTTAGGGACCATAGATAGTTTCAACACTGAATTTTGCATTCCGAATTAATCTACTGATGAATCACAGACATTGATAACAGTCAAACATAGTCCAGTCCAAAAGAGAGCTATATTTTTCTGGCACAGGATGACCTGAATGTCATTATATTGGTTCCAGACTACGTCTAAATCAGAATGCACCATGTTGATCATCTCTGCAAAGTGATTCCAAGTCCAGTCATACAATTGTCAATTTGATGCTCATGGTACTGAATTCCCCTCCACCCCAAAGTGTAAGGAATAACCTAGGCTCTTATTTGTGACAGACTTTTTGCACATGGTGTATGCTGGAGAATTGGTGCCTGCATGGCGCAGCTCAGATCACTCAGATCATGTGACTGGTCTGCTGACTGGGTTTGTGTTTGCAGAGACTAGGATAGCAATGCTCCTAGTTTATAACGTGTTCAGGTGCCTTATATGGTATAAAGACCTGTTCATAAATCCCCAGTGTTCACTTGGAATGGGCATCAAAATCTGCAATTGTATTTGCATTAAGCACTTGCACACATAGCCTACTTTACAGTGGGGAATTATCAGTAAGAGTAGCTAGCACTTAACATCTCCAAGAGTAAAAATACATCAGAGCACATTGGCAAGTTGCCAAGAGGTGTTTTAGGTTACATGTCAGAGCTTGGAATAGTGATTTTACTACCGACCAAAAAGACTCCTGAAACTTCATTCTTCTACCATAAAACATGCATATGTATGCGTGTGGGTGAAAGGACCCGACTGTCTTCTCCCACTTCACCCCTAAACCTTCTAGTCACTCTTATTTCAACAACTCAGCACAGTGCAATCTCCAATTTATGAAGAAAAATATAGATGAGAAGTACTTTATTAATATATGAGTTATTCCTAAAATGTATCTATTTAAATAATTTCACTAAACTCTAAGGAGGTTCACATAGCGGAGAACAGAAAATGGCTTACTTTTTTAACTCTTATTTTGGGATCTCCCACACAGATCAGTATAAAGGTTCCCCTGAAAATTTTGCTTAGGACACAAATTGACAAAAATATGAATTCCTTTGATTTTTTTTTTCCCTGGAAAAAACAATATGACATAGCTACTGCATGGAATAATTTTCTAAATGAAGACAGCATTTCAGTCAGTTGTATCAGAAGATGCAACTGGAGATTTCAAAGGGTGAGTGGAGTATAAAATTAGAAGGAAAGAAAATACAGCCACCATTTTCATCACAATTCAGAGTGACAATGAAAAAAGATGTTATGGAAAATATATGTAAAATGATTAAACACATATAACAATGGCTTTGAAAGAATCATGAACTAAGAACTACAATGAAAAAAAAGGGAGGATAGAATGGAACCGGTATGTATGCAAACAAGAACAACAGTTCAACCAACTCATGCAAATGCAAATCAACACATTTAACATTTTGAAGAAGAGCAATACAATGCAGCAGGAAAACTTTGTAGACAAGAACATGTTCTGGGGACCTGATGAATTCCACCTGAAAGCAATTCACTTATGTTAACCTCAAAATAAATGTTTAGAATGAGTCATGGCTCTATGTGACTTCTCTGCGTACAGAACAGGTACTGGTAACCATGAACTTTTAAACTTACAATATTAAGAGAAAAAATCCGTGTCAAAGATATTTTGAGTATATCCTTAAGAAGAAAACTGTGTTGCTAACAAAGTGTGTGCTTTTACTAGTTGCAAGCATAGTCCAGGAGTTTTATTGTTTAAGTTCTGCAGTGCCACAATAAAGCCAGAACCAAGTGTCTTATCATTAAGAAAAAGAAATTGGATAGGGCTGTTATATCTATATTATAGCCAAACATTAGGAATAAGACTAGGGAACAAACTGGCTGATTAAAAAAATTCCTAGAAACTTTCAAATGTTTACCTTTCAGTAAAATGATAGTTATTGATAAACCAAAACACAGTTAGGACAGTTTCATGTCAGAGTTGGTACTGAATTGCTTTGTGACAAGAGATGTTCTCTTATTAGATAAAATGCCTTTAATACCAAAACAGGATTTGATGCATTTCATATATTTGAGTAAACACCTGTTATTATCTCCCCATGCACTTCTCCTCCAGAATGAACAATGCTGCAAATCTCTTGTCTGCTTCTGGGCTGACTGAGGCACATGCAGAAGACAAAGTGAATGTGACACTTGGGGCAAGAAAATACTTTCAGGAGCAAGAAGAGATGAAATACATTAAAAAGACGGTTTCCAACAGCACATAAGATGGCCAAAAAGACCCATCTGCCCAGACCAGAGGTATCCAAAACTTCTTTAGTGAACAGGTAAGATCTTATGGCCATATTGACTGTCTTTGACATATTCACACTTTGGTCAATATTTTACCATCAAAGACTGCATATATATCTTAAATGACAAAAATCTGAATGGCACACTTGAATGTATCCCTGTCTGCCAACTGTCTCTATGATACATGCTTTCAGTGGCAGATATGTCAGACCACTTGCATTTTGTTCCTGATTAGCCTCACACTTAGTTTCCTTCTTCTGTAACACCATAAGGCACCCAATCAGTCAGTTATAAATCATATGAGGATTTTAATATAAATATTATAACACTCTTCTTCCAGGAAAGGCATGTGCTTTTCAACTCCATGGCATTAGATCATTGCAAATACCACCTTCTTGGTACTGACTATTCCTCACATTTAATTTGGTTTTCAGATGTCACATAATGAGGCGTCTTCCATTACAACATGTCCTCACTGAGCAGATGATGTCTCCCTAAATTACTTGCATAAGAACAGATTACAACTGCAGTTGGAAGGCACAGTGATTTAGCCATTATGAGATATCTTGTTTCCAACTAGATTTTTTTTTCTTGCTAATTGCTTATTACTCATTAATAGGTCTGTACAGACAAGGTAAAGTTCTGCTATATTTCTCATGTGCTTATGCTTCCTGCCTATGTATTCTTCTCATTTTTATGAAGTTAGGTCATGTCTTTCAGATAAGTTTGGTAAAAAAAAACTCATTTACAGTTCTTTGCAATTCTTTCATGAAGAAGAAAAAATTTCACAAGAAAACACCAGTTTCCATGGAACTTAAGAAAAGCCTTTTACACCGTGATACAATTTTTTTGTCAAAATGTTCATTGCTCATATAAGTATATACATGCATAGAAATATATGTTTTATACATCAGTGCATTTATTTCTTGTCTAAAGACATAGATATAATACATATGTCAACATGTATTCACACAAATATAGATAAAGAAACAGACCCAACTAATCAGTAATTTGGGATTTTGCATACTACTAACATCATGGGCTATGAAAACTGTATTTCAAAACTTGTTCTAAGTCAGACCTAGCTATTCCAAGATAAATATCCATGATAGAGAGAAGTTTATCTTGGATAGTAGGTATTTCTTTTTATTTCTTCAAGTTTAATCATTAAAGTTCTTGTTTTCATGTCAATGCAGAAAGGATTTTTGGTTTTAAGATAATACTAATTTTCATGGAAAAAAGAAATATTTTTCCTTTCTTTACTATTCAGTAATATGCCTACCTGCAGTGCTATGTTAATAGACAACAGGGTAAACTTTGGGCCCTTACCCGTGCATTCACATCCTTTATTGTCACCTTGCTATTTTGCAATATTATTTTCCAGTTCCAGTTAACAGTAAGCAGCACTACTTAAGCACTCCTTAGTACTTAGTATGTACTATTTTGACAGTAAATTTACTTCAGAGTGTCACTGTGAAATAAAAGGGAAGTAGATCATGGAAACAAACCACAGAAAAAGAGGATCATTTAACTAGAAATAAAAATCAATAACTTTCTAAATTGAAATAAACATCTATAAATTTGAGTTAATCTAAAATTTGGCAAAACAGAGTTGCAGATATAACTGGAAACTATGCAAAAACATCACAGGATTTTTTCTGTGTGAAAAATTCCTGCACTGTCAGAGAGTGGACCTATCTTGTTGCTACAAACATCTATGTTCAATCTTACAGGATGCAAAGCAGCATGCAAAAATGTCAGGGTACTTCAGTGGGAGTAAACTGAACTAATCACTGCAAGCTAAATTTTACCGTGCTTTGATTTTCTATTAGGATTCATTAAATGTCTGTTAAGCTGCACTCAGAGAGGTTTTCACCTCTCTGTTCAGTGAGTGAACTTAGCACTTTTTCATAGAAGCTCAGTAGAGTGGGAACATGGCATACAAACCTGACTCTGGAGGACATTACCCCAGCCAGGCTTTCTAGTAGCATCATAATACGTTATAAGTATTTAAAATTAATCCATCATCTGGAGCAATGCAAACTGAACAGGGAGAAGACATGAAGAAAGTCGAAACTGTACATAGACTACAGAATTATTTGATCAACTTATAAATTAACACTCATGATTTGAGGAAGAGTTAAAGGTCCCGAAGTATTTGCTTTACCTGTTCCATAATACTGGAGAATACTGAGGCTTAAAGTACAGACAGTCTGAAATCTTCATTTAAACATCATTAAATACATGCAACTAAGCACTGTACTTAACTAGAAATAATTTTAGCTTCAAGCACCTCCTAGGGCTACTAAAAGTTTTATCTTTAAAACCACTAAGAACATGCAATCAATTAAAGACAGAAGCAGTTTCCTCTCCTTATTTTTCAATTTAGAAATTAAGGATTCCCCAATGGAAAAAAAAAAAGTCTTCTCATCATCGTCTTGATGAGACAGATATCTTATCCATCCATTTAATGCTACTTATTTCTCCCAAACAGATATTGTTAAAACATGTTTCACATTGTTTTGAAATCAGCATGCATACATGGAATTAAAAAAAAACCAACCACATGCTGTTTTTCTCACTGTTATTCTTTGATCACCTCTCCATGGGTATTTTTCTAGGGTAATGCAAAAGGTCTGACTTGTTAAGATAAAAAAAACAAACTAAAAAGAATTCTGTTGTGGATAAGAGCACAGGAAGAAACAGAGAAATCCATCTTCAGTTTCTCCTTGATTAAACACTGGCCACATTTCTGTAGGCAAATCCTTTAAATAAGACATTCTAAAAGTGTTTTATTACCAACAACTGGGAACAGACAGTCAAAAGTGCTTTGTTTATAGCCTTCATGGAAGGCTATAAATACTTCAAAAAAATGCAGCTGAGAGGTCTTTTGTAACTTTGGTTCTTCAAGCTCAATTCTGCAGTCATAGAATCATAGAACGGTTTGGGTTGGAAGGGACCTTAAAGATCATCTAGTTCCAACTCCCCTGGTTCCAACACCTCCCACTAGACCAGGCTGATCAAAGCCCCATCCAGCCTGCTCTCGAACACTACCAGGGAAGGGGCATCCACAGCTTCTCTGGGCAACATCTTCCAGTGCCTCACCACCCTCACAGTAAAGAATTTCTTCCTAATATCTAATCTAAATCTACCCTCTTTTCAGTTAAAAACTGCTAGCCCTCATGCTGTCGCTACATTCCCTGAAAAAGAGTCCCTCCCCATCTCTTCTGTAGGCCCCCTTCATGTACTTACTGGAAGGCCGCTAGAAGTTTTCCCCAGAGTCTTCTCTTCTCCAGGCTGAACAACTGCAACTCTCTCAGCCTGTCCTCACAGAAGAGGCCCTCAGCCCTCTGGTCATCTTTGTGGTCCTTCGCTGGACTTGCTTCAACAGGTCCACGTCCTTTCTGTGATGACGACTCTGGAGCTCAAGTCAGTACTCCAGGTGGGGTCTCACTAGAGTGTACTAGAGGGGCAGAATCACCTCCCTCGACCTGCTGGCCATGCTTCTTGATGCAGCCCAGGATATGGTTCACCTGTGTCAAAGCAATTAACAGCATAAATACAGACTGGGTGATGAACAAATTGAGAGCAGCCCTGTGGAGAAGGACTTGGGGATAATGGTAGATTAGAAATTGGACATGAGCTGGCAATGTGCACTTGCAGTCATACCCTTGGCTGTATAAAAAGAAGCACACCCATCAGGTCAAGGGAAATATTTTCTTGAAGGAAGTCTTGCTTCTTCATCTGGAAAGCTAATTCTAGATGTTTTGGGTTTGAAGGTTCATTTTTATTAAATTCTTAGAGGAAGGAGAGTTTTTAAAGATCAAGGAAACCCTACTTGTTTCAAGAGTCAGCTATCTTAGAATCATAGAATGGTTTAGGTGAGAAAAGACCTTTAAGATCATCATGTCCAACCATTAACCTAGCACTGCCAAGTCCACGCATTTATATGTCTTTTAAATAGCTCCAGGCATGGTGACTCAACCATTTCCCTGGGCAGCCTATTCTAATGCTTGACGGTTGTTTTGGTGAAGGAATTCCTCCTAATATCCAATCTAAACCTCCCCTGGTGCAACTTGAGGCCGTTTCCTCTTGTCCTATCACTTGTAGCTTTGGAGAAGAGACGGACCCCCACCTCACAACCTTTTTTCAAGTACAATGCTCTAAAATAGGGAGTTCCATAACTTATTTGTTATTCTTTTCTCTGCGTTTATGCCCTCATTTCTTGCACTATGAATGAAGTATGAACAAAACCACAGCAAATTGTTATGAAAGCATTTAGATGTATCACTCTGCTTTGCATTACTGCTATTTGATATACCCATGTAATAATTAAGGATAGAACACCAAGTGAGTCTATGGCAAATAACAGCTAATAGAGATAGGAAATGAACATTATACAGCACAAAGGATTATTATGCATTTTTTGTCCATAAGATACCAGAGGTGATATGTGAAATGACTTTAAAAGCTAACATGAACAGATTCAACTAACATGAACAGATCTTGACACAGGATCAGTTGCATTTGGGTTTTCATGATTCTAGGCATATTTGAGATCCTGTAAAATTTTCCTTCCTATCTTAGAACCCTTATGTGCAGCCCAGATGAGATTTGAGGTAGTTCACCAGGACTTTCCTAAGCACCACATAATCCTTTGATTAAAGAGAGATTGATAAATGTCAGCATTACATCTGTACTGGACAATCAGATGTTTCTGATGATTTCTGTTACAAAAGATAAAATAATTCAGAAGCAAACCACCCTGCATGTTGCAATACATTTCTGCAAATCCTAGAGGTCATTTTAGGTAACTGATCACACATAACATATTTCTTATGAGGAAACTGTGATTTTATATATCTAACAGACTGTTGGGTAAAGTTTAGAAGTTGCAATATCTCTCTGACTGTGCTAAACCAGTCAGGTTTAAAAAAATAGTTTAGTGGTGGAACAGCACTGTGAAAAAGGCTCTTAAAGTAGTCTTTTGTGGTATAACTGAATTCCTCCAAATCTGCAATGCAAATGGAAATAT